GAGAGGCTAGAACTTACGAATTTTGCGAGAATGCTTGCATATTTTATGCAACGCTAAAAGCATATTTTTTGCATACGCCTGTGCCTCATGTGTGTACATGACAAACTTAAAGGTGCAAAATCATTGGCAGTCTCCTCACGGTAACCATGCATACAGGAGGTTGAGATCACGGGCAGTGCAATGATGCAGTTTTGGCTGACCCCCCTTCTCCCTCAGCATGCAGTTCTAAAAACAGTGCTAACATGAGTACATATGTTAAACTGTGAACTAAAAACCATCCATACTGTTAACAGTCTGATTGCTTCAAGGTTCGCGGAAAATTTTATGATCATACAAGCAGCTTTGAAGCACGCCACTACTGATTATGTATTAGTTGCATTGCAAAAAGCGCATATTGTGAAGAGATTCTGTGTTTATGTGTGTTTGTTTGTGTGTGTGTGTGCGTGTGCGTGCGTGTGTGTGTGTGTGTATATGTGTGTATGTTCGAGATGTGTATATGTGTATATGTGTGTATGTTTTGCCACCCATTTTCAATTCAGCAATTGAAAAGTCTGCGAAACTTAAATTTTTGGAGCACGTTCCCGCGTCATGTGCGGTCTTCCACGTACTCCTAAATCTTAAATACGGCCGCATGAAGGAACACGTGGAAAAGTTTTGACGGGGAAGTGATTTCGGGGATCGGAAAAGTTAAAAAGCTGAAATTTCACGAAGATGTGGATTTCAAATTCAGCTCTCATACACGCTTACGTCACAAGTACGGGCAAGACAAAGTTTAAAGTGAGATATCGCTAGCAAAATCCCAGGTCGAGAGCCAAACTGCGTTAAGTCCTTGATTTTGCGAGAGTTTTTATCTATATATGTGCACGCTTGCGTCTTGTTTTTTGTTTACGCACTTATCGCGTGTTCGGATAAATCGAGGATATTTGTAGTAAAAACAGTTTCGCTAAACACTCAAACTAAAATGCCCTGTTTTTACAAGGGTATTCTTATAAATCTTTTAGATCTGAAATTCAGCCTTAGGGCACGCATAGGTCTTGTGTGAGCGTAAATGGAATTTAACTTGGGACATTGTTGGCGCCCAGTTAACTCCGGGACCAGATCGAGCATGAAGCAAAATTTTTACGAGGATGCATGCATACTGTACATGCACGGGTAAAATAAGTGTTGTCATCCTTCTTTCTCAGTAATTAGACAGGCAAGAAAGTTGAAATTTTTCGACGGCGCTAGTATACCGTATGCAACATTAAAAGCTTAATATCAAATATCGCAAGCGCTCGCATACGGATGCGGTAAATTTGAAGCTGCAGGACGGGCGATTGCACCGATTTTGTGCACGTTGCTACTAGGTTCGTAATTATCGGTTTGCTCGAAGCAGTTTTTTATTGTATGCGTGTTTGTGGTTATGAATGTGTGCAAAGATTTACTGGCATGTTTGCAGGATCAGCACGATATCAAATTATTGTCTTATTTGATGCTTGCTCGTTTATCTGTGCTTTGTCCTTCTCAAGTGCTGCAGCGGCTTGACACTCTTTGCGAACCACTTAAGGTATTTCTTGAATGGATTATTCATGGATTCTGTGTGGATATCTCGGCATTACAATGTATTGTTTCTAAAATCGAAACATGTGGCCCTAGCCCGTTCCAGAAGCTAATTTTTTCTTCGTTTGCATGTGTCTGAAAAGTGGGCACCTAGACTGTATTGCCACCAGGGCTTTTCAGGCTCAGATACAAGCAAAACTCAAGGATAATGCCGTGAAGCAGGAAAATGACAAACAGGATGAGCTTCGGCGCGCTGCATTAAGAGTTGTCATTGCGATACAGGTGAGCATATTTTTAGCGCGTTATGCTTCCATTCATTTGGAAGCACGTTGCTTGAGGATTATCAGATTGTCTTGCAAAGGTGTCTTCAGATATCTGGGAGTCTTTCTGAATAGCCTGCGCGTAGGTATAGAGTGTCGGGGAAAGCATGCATTCAAAACCTGGACAGATATCCGAATATACACACATAAATATGTACATATATATAAAGGGTATGTATGTAAAGCACATATATATAATACGCACATAATCGG